TTTATATTATATTCAAAAAATGCATTTACTTTAAAAACTGTTCTAACTATGTAGGTATGCCTTGCCTTATGTCAGTAATTGGATCCAGGAGAGGTGACTTAAGTCAAAAAACAACGTGAGTCAAATTTACTTGTCACTAGGCTAAACTACAAATAACCATTCCCAGTTTTTATTTATAAATGCATTTTTAATAATATATTGTTAATAAGAATCTATTTTAAGCTTACAAAAAATAAATTTTAGTTTTTAATATAGTACAGAAAAAAATAATCTAAATTTACGAATTCATGTATGTACAGTATATGCTTGTAAATGTACATGTTTACAATTTGGCGATGTTCACAGTACATCACGGACTCTTTATTTATGAATGTGATTTGTTCTAAGATATTATAAAATAAGATGATTTTGTAAGGTTAAATAACAAATACAGTTATTAAAATTATCTTGCGACAGTAGATAATTTTTTATTAATTTATTAAATTTATAATTAAATTTACCAATATCGAGTGGTGCTGACGACGACGCCAGATGGTAGATATTGGAACTACCATGGAAAACACTAATATTGAGCACTTAAAGACCACTAAATAAGACGACAACACAGTCACAGATATTTTCATGTTTTCTTCTCTAGGATTTATGATGATAAAATATGTACATTTACAATAAATGTTAATATAAATATGATTTTATTTGCTTTAACGCTTTTGTAGTGTTATTACGACTTCAATATTTGTGGCGGACAGACATAAAGTCGAATAAAATGCTTAAACTTGATTTTTATTTTTCCGTATATTTTTTTGACAAAGAACGTGTAATCAAGAATGACGTAACTCGAGGTATATCTGTATTAACTTCTTGCTCACTATTCTATTAGTTTAAATCAGTGTTTCCCAAAGTGTGGTGCGCATACCCACAGGGGTACGGGAAGAGTTTAGTGGGTTACGCGCTGCACCACACTTTGACTGCGCCTGGTGCAACAAGCAGTTTACTTTTTTTCGATTACAGACATAAAAAAATAATAAAAAACTCCATTACTTGTTAGTGGTTTTCCCAGGCACTGTGATTCTGTGCATTCCTCCACCCTATGGCCCAGACAACAGTGTCACACAAAAACCTCCAGTATCTACATATTGAACTGTTACAGTGCGTACGTGTCTATTTTTAGCTTTTGTGTGATTTTTCTAATAGGAAAGGTTTGTTATGTGCTTTAGTATTAATAAAAAGCTAAAAATCCAAACAAAGCAATTTTTCTGTAGATAGTTACAACAACTAACAATTCTTAGCAGAGACTTACTTTGACATTGCTTCTAGAAAGATGAAAATGAGATCTAAGTCCATATCGCTATATCTAGGAATGATATTTTCCACATAGTCTTCTATTTTGACTTTTTTCAATTTTTCAATTGCAGCAGCATATAGAAATGGAATATCCTCATTATCTTTGGTTTTTGATTTAAAAACATCTCATAACCCCCTCTACACTCAGAAATACTATTTAACAAAACAGTCACAATCGCCATCTTCTCATTACTTAAGTCAGCCATCTTGAAAAGCAACCTCTCAACACTATTCTCAACGAAAGTGTTTCTTTTTTCTACAAAATGTGACGTCAGATTGTTCAACGGAGGGACTCAACAGAAAATTCACTGTTGAGTCAACCATCAAATTTAGAAATGTACAGTAAGTCCCATTGATTTTGATTATTTTTACAAAATATAATTTTTATCACTAACATTCAAGATTATGGATCGCTGGATGAAATCTGGAACTTCTAAACTGAAAGAAAGCAGTGATTATAGTAGCATTCAACAAACAGAAAATAATGAAATTAACAATGGCGGATCACCTTCAATTCTGAAAGAATCTGTTAAGAAAAAAGCAAGGAAAATGCTCAAGTATGACAAAGAATATCTTAAATTTGGATTCTCATGGACTGGAGATGAAAAAGAGCCTATTCCACTTTGAGTCATTTGTTTTGAAAATCTAACAAATTAAAGCATGAAACTTTCCAACTTAAAGTGCCATTTTGAGACAAACCACAGTCAGTACAAAGATAAACCCATCAACTTTTTGAAACCAAACTTAAGGATTTAAATCAGTCTCGAAAAGTAATGCAGGGTTTGACAGGAGGTGACAATCAAAAAATCTTAGAAGCTTTGTATCACATGTTGTTTTTAATTGAGAAATGTACTGCAGCGGAGACAATTGGCAAAACTTTAATCAAGCCTGCAGCCAAGATAATGACAGAAGTAATGATAGGAGTCAGAGCAAAACAAACTTTTGACCTGGTTCCCCTCTCAAATAATACAGTTCATTGACAAATCATTGATATGTCTAATAATGTAAAACAGATGTTATTGTCTGATATTTCTAAAAGTCGTTATTATGCATTGCAAGTCGATAAGTCCACTGATATTGCAAATTTTGCAAATCTTATGGCATTTGTTAGACATGAAAAGTATCAAGAAATTCATGACAACTTTTTATTTTGCCAGCCTTTATCAGGTCACTCAACAGGAGAAGATATCTTTAATGTTATGAATAAATTTATGCAAAAGAACAAAATTGATTTGAATAGATGTGTTGGAAAAAGCACAGATGGAGCAAAAAGTATGATCAGAATTAATAAAGGGCTCGTAAGAATTCAAAATGTTGCCCCAAATGTCATAACCACACATTGTTGCATACACAGAGAGGCTTTGGCAAACATAATATGCCTGCTGATCTACAGAAAGTTCTGGATGAAAAGCATGAAAATCATTAACTACATTAAAGGCCATCCTTTGAATGCACAACTTTTTTTGCAAATGTGTGAAGAAATGAGTAGTAGTCATACTCAGCTTCTTTTCCATACTGATGTTCGTTGAAGCTATCTCAAGGGAAAATTCTAAACCGATTATTTGAACTTAGACACGAACTTCAAGTTTTTCTTAATGATAGATTTGAACTGAGAAATTGTTTACAGGACTGGAAATGGCTTTGTAAACTGGCATACTTAGTAGATATATTCTCTGTTTTAAATTGTCTCAACTTATCGTTGCAAGGTAAATAAATTTCATTGTTTCACGTTCAAGATAAAGTGAATTGCTACCATTGCAAAACTAAATTTATGGCAAAAGAGAATTGATAATGGAGAAGTGGACTCGTTTTCCTCTCTTCGTGAGTCTATAACAAATTCGACTACTAAAATTGATGCCAATACTCTGAAATGCATAACACAGCATATAAAGAGTTTACAAGTGGGCCTAAAAAACTATTTTCCTGATTTAAACAAAAATATTAATGTTGAATGGATATCTTATCCATTCAACATTAATATAACATCCATGCCAGAAGGTTTGTCACATGCGGAAGAAAAGCAATTGTTGGAATTAGCTTCAAACGAATTCTTGAAAAACAAACATAAGGAGTGTACTTTAACATCATTCTCGTTACAAATGCAACATGTGTATCCTGTTTTAACAGAAAAAATCTTGAAATACATCTTGTCTTTTCCAACTTCATATCTATGTGAAGTTGCTTTTTCAGCATTTATAGACATTAAGTCAAAAAAAAACAGACTTTTGGATGTGGAACCACATCTCAGATTAAAATTAACAACTAGTGAACCAAATTATGATGATCTGTCATCTAAACATAAACAATTTCATCCTTCTCATTGATCCTAATAAATGTTATTTATAATATAACTTTTATTTATATTTTACTATGAATAAATTTAATTTTTTGTTTATTATTGTTTTGTTTATATACTAAAAAANTTTTTCAGTTTTAAGTATTTTTCATGTTTAATTACATTAATATCAAAAATTGCTCGGGGCTTAAGGAATTAAACAAATGGAGGAGATTTCTTTTATTGATATACTAACGATTTTTTTCAAGGAGATCGTCTGTCATCAATTGCAGAAGGCACCCTTTTTCCCTTTTCACCTAATCACGAGGTTTATTAGAGGGGTGATACTGTCCTAAAACAAAAGGGTTTTGGACCTTCACACAACAATGTAACAGCAACAACAGCATACAAGAAGTTTTCTGCAACAGCATCTCACCAAAAACAAACAATTAGTTGTGTGCTTCCTACCACCTGGCACTTCTTAATCTGTATGATTTTTGATTTTGGGAACACTTACAAAGTTTAGTTTATCACATACATTTTGAAAATGTTTTCATATACTATAAACATATTTCATAATAATGATTCATCATTTTAAAAACTAGCAATTATAAGAAAAGTATGATTTAAAACAAAACTGAAATCAGATTTCAATGGTATCAAACAGTAATGTGCAAACTGTTGCAAAATTCAAAGAAATTTATTTGACAATAAAAAATATACGGTTTTTTTAACAAGTATCAGATACCAGTAAATTGTGTGTTTTATTCAGACCTCTAATAAGGCAGAAACATAAGTGCAAATCCCAGAAAAAATTTCACTTTAACTATGTTGACAATTAAAAACATATCTACTGACTATCCAGGGGTTGCAACATAATTATACACAAAATGGGGGTTGGAAATGAAATTAGTTTGCACACCACTGGTATAGAAGCATGAATCAATTTACACACAAACCATAAAGACAATCAAAATTATTATACATCTATTGTTTATTTATCTATGTTCATAATCTTGTTACAATTATCAAAATTATTTGATCAAACATTTCTAAGAAAGAAATAAAATTCAGAAATTTAGTTTCATTTAATTAATTATAATGGAGTCACCTCACAAAAGCATTATTTCAGATACTAAATTTGCATAGTAATTACGTAGCATTCAACATTTTTTTTCCTGCTTAAAGACATTTTTTCTGTTTTAAATATGATTTATCAATAATTAAAACCATTAGCAGAAAAATCCAAATGTCATTAAATTTTTCAAATATAAAACCCATAAAAGCTGATCTCCAAATATTCCATCCCTAAACTTTCTGTATTCTATATCAATTCAGAAAGATGATGATATTTTAGACAAAATACAACAAATCTACTTACTTTCATATTTATCATGAGTTACATATTGCTCCAATTCTTCATTAGTCAGAAATTTGTTAAGTCTCTTTACAGAAACTGTTGCCTGCAAATTTAAACTTCCTGTTACATACAAAATTAATTTACATTAAATATTCAAAAAAGTTTATTTTATTTTTAATTAAAAACCTTTTTTTAAACTCAGACATTATAAAAATAATTTAAAATCATATCATTTAAGCTTTAATTAAAAAACATATATAAATTCAAAATCTTTGACTTATTTATTTTTTCTAACAAGCTATCTTCAGTCATCAAAATCATAACAATTTTAAAGATATAAAACTGAAAGTTTGACAAACACTAATCATCACAGGAACAAAGCATCTTTAATTTATTTCATTATTTTTTTATGAACATAAGCAATTTATTTTAATTTATTTATATTTTAGGGAAGTGTGATGATTATTATTAGATTCATTTAAATTTTAATTATATTTATTATATTAAGATTCTAAACTTAAAAAAATAAAAACCAATTTGAAGTAATCAATATATATTCATTTTTTGTCTTTATTTCATGCCAAATAAAGCATCAATGGTTTTATTTTAATTATACACTAATTATTTTTGATATTTAGGAATTCATATAACTAACATTTTAATTGTCATTTCAATTGTGGGACAACTTCCTTAAATGGATTAGTTAATTTTAAGACACAAAGGTTATCTATCTAATATATATATTCTCATTAATGCTAACATAGTTTTATCATTTGATTCTGAAAGAATCAATAATACAAGCTTACCTGCACAATCATGGAGATTAACATAGGAAGCATAGTTAGAGGAAAACGCAAAATATGAAACAATGTCAGTGCCACAAAGGCTTTTTTTGCATCAAGGATATTATGTTCACTGATCATGACAAAAGTTGCAAACGATGTTAATGATACCTATTAAATAAATTTATATAATTAATAACATAAAATATTCTATTAAACATATTAAATTCAGTCTAAAACAGGACCAGATCAAATGCAATATCCTATATTGGATATAATTATATACAATATAGTCACGTTATTTACTTTAATTTGAAGGTAAACTAAACATGAATAAGTATTATAATTACTATTATAGATAATTAAGCACTTCTTATTCAGGATTTTTTTGGAGCTCTACTGACCATCACATTTAGTACATCCTTTTTTATCTTTATTTCATGCCAAATATGCTATTCAACACATAGGAGAAAGGATTCCGTAAAAACTTTAGTTCCAAGACCCACTGATAGGAAATGTTCTTGTAACCCAAGAAACAGAAAATTTGTATAAAAGTTTATTTGTTTATTTTTCCTTTTGGTAGGTAAAAGCAGTAAATGCACAAACATTACAAGTACTTTTCTACTGACAGTTGTGCTGAACAAGAAACTCATTTTACCTAATTGTACATTAATTAATTATAAAATTCTTTACTTAGATATAATGCAGCAACTGTCAACTTCTATAGTTAAAAGGATGACTTGAAGTTTTCTTTAAGAAAACTTTAGAAATGGGACCTAGAAAAAGACTAAAATTTGTATTGCTAACATTTCAAATGCCATCATTTCCATATCACTGACTAATGTCACTGATACTAGCAACATATGTTAAATAGCAAAACAACTGAATATGCATTATTACAAAGTAACCTACTTTTAGCCATTCAAAATTGTTCAAGAGATGCAACAAGAAAACTTTAAAAAATGAATGATTCCTAACAGGATTTTCCTGAAAAAAAGAAAAGTATCAATAATATCAGTCCTTGGAATATTCTGTGAAAGGATAAGGCCTATTTTTATCTGAAAAATACTCCAAAATTTAGACTTCAGCTGAAACTCATGATATCTAGCAAATTCCTGAATAATGTCATTTAAAGTGGAATCACTAAATTTTATAATAAGTCCAGTCTTTTCATGGAAATCCATCCAGCAGCAGCAATAACCCATTTTATTACTTCACTGTATTAGCTTCATATGATGCACAATTTTGTCATTACATTGCATTCAACAATGAGAATGCCTGAATAAGACAACTTTTACACAAGATAGATCATCATCTTATATTGCATGACTAATGCAGCAGTTTTTATGGCATGATTTCACTGAAAAAAGAGTGATTAGTCACTTTTCTCCACATGCATGGTTATAGAACATTCTCTTGATGTTACTACATACAATATTTTATTGAACATAATTTTGACATTTGAATTTATATTATATTCAAAAAATGCATTTACTTTAAAAACTGTTCTAACTATGTAGGTATGCCTTGCCTTATGTCAGTAATTGGATCCAGGAGANCATTAAGTCTGACCCCTCGCAAGATATGACACATGACCACTCTCTATCTCTCCATTCCCTTGACCTTCCATAACCAAAATTTAATAGCATCAATGCCCCTTATATACAAGCCACCATGCAAAATTTCATTACTTTATCTTCACCCCATCCTGAGATATTAAGTGAAATAGATGCCAACACACACACACACACACACAATTTTTTTTTTTTACTTTTTTGGTGGTTTTAAAATGTGGAGATTTGCAAAAAAAACTCATAGGGTCAAATCTGACACAATTCCTATACATTCCCTTGTTATGTATACATAACAGCTGGGAAAGTAAAAGACGAAAACATTTGTGTTGAGTTAAATTAAAGTATTTTGATCTGCTGATTCAAAAGAAGATCAGTGTGTTATTAATGCATTATTATTAAAAAAAATCAAATTTATCACAAAAAGCTTTTATAAATTTGATTTTGTTAAAATAGAATTTATAGATAAAATTTAAATTAATTATCTTACCACAAATGGAGCACATGTCCATATAAATGCTGTAACAGAATGTAAATAAGCCATTCTTCTTAAATGTTGAATTTCCTTGTTTCTGATATCCAATACTTGTTGCAGAAAAGAATTTTCCCAAGCATATAATTTCAGGACTTTAATTCCTCCTAAAATCTCATTCATCAGCTTCACTCTTTCATCTTTTTTCTTCATTTGTTTCACCTAAATATTTAACAGTATCAATTATTTACAACTATTTTATCATTTAGCAATAATCTCTCTTTAGATTTTGAATTTTAAAACTGTCTTATTAGAATGAGTCAAAACTAAAGCAACCATTAAAAAAGTAAATTTTCTATAAATTTATTACAGAATTTATCAAATATAATGCTGAATTCATATAATTAAAATCCTGCTGATTTGCCTGTTAAAATCCATTTATTATTACAGTATCTGTGAAATTAACTGCCATACAATATCTGTGAGTTTATCTAACTTATACTTAAATCTATAAGACTATAAATGATCAAAAATGTTAACTAAATTTATAGTCTTACAGATACTTTCTAAACAAGTTTTAAAAAATATGTAAGAATATAGAATGTATTTATTAAAAATTACTTATAATTCAGTTCATTCATCACATCTTGTAGAAAAATATTATAAATTCATTCTTCATCTGAATTTTTCCTATATTTAATTACAAAAAACTTATAGTTTAATGCTAACTAACTATTAGACATTCTCATGATTGACACTCCTGTACCTCATCCTACACAAACAAATGAGGAAAAAAATATAAAATGAATCTTGGTTATAAAGTGTAACATTAGTCATGTTTAATGCATTTAGAAATCAATGTATGCATGATAATGATAATGTTACATTCTCATTTCTGGAAAATAAACAGAAAATAATATTCGTGTATTAGAAATCACAAATATCATCATTGCACAAATTGAAGTAGATTACAGTAGTTTCACTTATCTTCTTGTGTTCTGTAAAACTATAGTAATACAGTTTATATCTTTCTTAGATAATAGTTATTCTGAGGTTCAAAAAATTCAGTAGTCTAATGGTCAAATATTATCAGAAAATTTTAATTGATTATCAAAGAATTACAAATGGTAGCCAACAAACTATAGCTATCAGCCCAAAACTATTATTCTGCATACCTGTTTCCATGGGTATTTGTTTAAAGAATTAGTTGTATGGTATGTGAAAAAATTGTAAATAAGTAAAATTTTAAAAATTATTAGTAAAAATTGATTATAATTTATCTTGTTATTTTTTACACAAATAAACTATCAGATGAGCTAAAATTATTAATTCTGAATGAGTTAGATTGAAATTAAAATAAAGTTTTATAAAAAAAAACATGGCCATTTAATTAAATTATTCTTTAAAGCTTAATATAGTACTTAAAATTTACTATAAAATGATGATACTATAAAACTTTTTCCTGATTATAAACCTTGCTATTTTAAGTTAACTTAAATGTGAAAAACAAATAGTGGTTTATTTTTACATGTTAATTTCTAGAAAAGTTCATTTTCACTCTCAGAAATTGAGGGTATGAAAGAGAACTGAGGTGTACTCCAAAGAAATTATAACATATATTACTATTTTAAAAACTTATTTTTTTTATTGTGTGATTTTTAAAAGATAGGTATGTAACTTCAAATACAGTTAATTCACAATATTTATTAAAATAAATAAATGTTTAAAATCTAATAGTGGTATACAGTGCATCAATTTTGATTTGATGCAACAGTGGTCAAATGGCTATAAACTGTGATTCCAAGATGGTGTTGTTTGTATTATACTATGCACTTCTAAATTTTTTAGTTTAGTTGAATTCTTTCAGTTATATCCAAACTCATAATGGAGGGGAGAAAGACCCTCCATTATGAGTTTGGAAAGACCTATAACGGAATGGCCAAATGTTGAGGGAAACAATTCAAATACTGAGTTCAAATAAAGACAAAATAAGGAATCAGATAGTAATTAATACATTAAATGCTTTGATATTAATCAAGATTGAAGAAACAAGCATAGAACTGCATGATAATGAAATAGACTTATGGTTCAATTCAGCGACATATCTATATATTCAGTGCCCTGGAGCAAGTAGAATTGGTGCACCCCCTTGTTCCTCGGAAGAGGTCTCATGAAATTTATTTTGAACATTTAATTTAAAAACATATATCTAATTATTTTGATTTAAAACCTTACTTAATTAATAATAATTTATTTGAAATTCAAGGCATTTCAACAATAAAATATTCAATTTAATAAATACAAAAATAATAATAAAACAAAATGTAATTCTTTAAGTACAGAGTACCTAATAATGTTTACTAAATATTATATAAAAGTGTATTGACAAAATGTATGCAAATTTAGTTTCATAACAAATACATAATAATACATAAAAATCTTCAAAACTGTTTTCTCGCTTGTTTGTTTGCAAATCCATCAATCACTTTTTTCAGATCACGTTAACAAGCTATTGTTTTTTTCAATTGATATAGTAGCCAGAGCTAAGACAGTGTTGTGACATGCTGCTCCTTAAATAAGTTTTGATTAATTTTAGTTTTGAAAAACTTCATTCTGGTGTCACCATTAAAGTTAAAAAATAAGGCATGCTGCAATAATGTCAGAAAAGCTACTTATGGCTGCAGTGTGAATTAATTAATAGTAGTTCAGCAACTTTGTATATAGAAGTAATTTCTTTTACCTAAGTATAAAAACACATTTTAAATCAGAGTAGTTGAGGTCCAAAACTAGGCAAAATGTCAGAGGGATATGCAGATTGTAACAATTCTGATCCTTCCAGAATATTTTTATCAGATAATGCAACAATATATGCAGGTGATAAGCACTTAAAAAATGTACATAACTGTCAAATGAATTTAAATCTAATAGTTAATTGATTGCAAACTGCTCTAGGTGCATGAATTGCATGAATCAAGAGGGTGCCAAGTTAGAAAAGACAAAATAAAAACTTGTAAAAACATTTATAAAAGATTTTTTGGATTTAATAATTAATCAATTAACTATTAGATTCTAGTGAAATTAGTCAAAAAACAATTGATATCCTGGTTCAATTCATTTCTTCAGCGATGAATTGAACCATAAGTCTGTACATAAGAGACATGTACAGGGACAAACATCCATAGTTACTCTTAATTAGTAGACTGTTATTGTTAACAGTGAATATTAATTAATAAATTCAGTGCTTCAAAAGATGTATAATGTTTTACCATATTTGCTATATTATTGATATCACTATAGCAGTGCCCAAGGAGTACAAAGAATTAAAACAGTTCCAGAGTTTTTGAAAATGTATTAGTTTTACTTAAATTAATATTAAAATAAAAAAAATACTAAAAATATGGATAAACTCACCTGTAACTTTTTACTAACATTAGCTGCATAACCATTTAGAGGAATCACAAGAATCATTACTACTACTCCAGTTAAAACAGACACACCTAAAACATCCCATAAAAAAAATAATGCCAAAATGATTTGCAGAGGAGCTGACCATAGCATATTAATGAAGACCATTAAATCCATAAATCTCTGAGCATCCACTGACATCAAGTTAACTATCTCACCTACAGTTGATTCACGACGTGAAAAATTAGACAGCACCAATGACTGAAAATGAATAAATATATTTTTAATAAATCTTTAAATATATTTTAAGCAAAAACAAAAGCAATTTTCAGTATAGATTATTGTCATAGGAAGTATTAATTTTTAATAATTTAAATTTTCCATAACTTCATTATTCATACACTTTTTACCTTTTTATAACCTTCTAGTTTTTAATAAACCTGTTTTGTGAAGAAATATTGTATGATCCAAGTCAGTTAACCAAAATATATTTTAAGATTGTGTTAAGAATAAGTTAAAACCAATTTAGATTAGCTGCATGTTATTCTGTCATTATTCATGAAGCAACTGAATTATGAATGAATAACATATTAATAAATTAAATTTTTATACAGGATGGATCTAAAGTCTGCATGCAGTTTTATATTTCAATAACTAAAGATATACAAATGTTAAAATTAAGGTTGGAGAGGTGACATTTCTTTGCCAACTGTGACTAATTTTCAGCTTAATGACTTTCAATCCTTAGTATTTATATACACTGTCTACCATTTTCATCACTGACATTAAGCTAATTTACTAATTAGCAATGCATTAGTGGTCTACTGATAGAGAATTGTAGCTGTGGATTTTACTTTATTCAAAAAATGAAAAATTACAATTATCCATATATAGAAATAATTCTGCCAAATTTCAAAAGTTTAGGTTTATCCAATCCTGAAATATAATGTAAAATAGATACCAACACATATACACAGATTTTTGTAAAAGTTTTACTTTCCCAACTGTTATATATACACACAGTAAAGTACAAGTGCTCACCTACCTAAGAACAGATTAGGTTCCTGAGGTTTTGTTGTAAGTTGAAAATTAATGTAGAAAGCAGTGTTGTGGAGTTGGAGTTGGGCATTTTTGGACTGAGTCGGTAAAATATATTCAACTCTGGGTACTCCAACCTCAAAGTTTACTATTGGTAAAATGTGAAGTAAGAAAAATACTTTTTACTTAATCAGTATCTAAAGAAATTTCTTAGTAAACAGACACTTCAATAAATTTAGATATCAAAATGATATTAACCCATAAAGGTTGTTTCATAGCAAAATGTTATGCATATCTCACACAACATGCTCTATACTTTTTAAATTAATAAAATAGTTTTTATTAGTTTATGACCCATCAGTGGCCGAGTGGATAAAACGACTAAACACTTGTAGTTAATCGTGGGGNTTAATGGGACAATTGAAAATGGCCCAATAACAGGGTAAAAAATATTAAGTGTGGTTTTCACCCACTGTTAAAGGTGCATTAATTAATTCAGCTCATTGATATTGATAACTAGTACTATGTTGGACTGAGAAGCTGAAAGCAAAAAAATTATTTTATTCATATGTTCAGGTATGTATCTGTGTTTAAAAGTTTTATGACTACATAATATGTGTTTAATACAAATCATTTCTGTAAAATGATGTGAATGCTGTGACTAAATTCTAATGCTCCTAGACTTTAAAAACAGCATATATAATGTAATATATGTAGCATGATGCCTGTATATGACAAAATAGATAAGGCACAATAAGTACTTTGCCCATTCTCTATATGTATTGTAGATGAGTTCTAAATATTTACTGATATTTTAATGAATGTATTATTGTGTACTGGTAGTGGAGTGTATCCTATATGACATATATAATGATGCTGATATGCTGGACCAGGGTCAAAGCTTAACCACAGAACAAGCTATTATTATGTTTAAGTGCTATTCATGTACTGTATGTAATATAAATTTCCTGACTATGTGACATGTGTTTAGTATAGCAGCCTTCTGTAGTGTGACATATGTGCTGTTGTGAAGCACTAATGTTTCAAGATATGTGTATATGTAGTTTGACTCTTATGTACTGAATTTGCATTTAAAATAAAATTTATTTTTATGCATATTTTATCTCAGAGAATAAGTATGTTTCTGTATAAATTGTTGTTTAAATATTCAAATTCATTATTCACTGCTTATTCTGAAAAATGTAAAAACTTTCTTAACAAGCAATAAAATACAAATTTATTTTATAGAACTAAACTATTTAATCTGTATTGCAATAACAATGTTTTTTCTATCATCCATTCAATATAATTATCAGGTCAGTCCATAAGTTCATGAGTATTTTATGACCTTGAGAAAAATCGTGTTTTGCTGTTAAAATTGTCAGTCTAATGTTATACTTTTTACACTGAAGTGTTAAATTGGATCTCATTCATATAATACTGTTCAGAATTGGGAACATTTCAGTTGTTTATTTTCGTTAAAATGGAAGTAACNAGTACCTAATAATGTTTACTAAATATTATATAAAAGTGTATTGACAAAATGTATGCAAATTTAGTTTCATAACAAATACATAATAATACATAAAAATCTTCAAAACTGTTTTCTCGCTTGTTTGTTTGCAAATCCATCAATCACTTTTTTCAGATCACGTTAACAAGCTATTGTTTTTTTCAATTGATATAGTAGCCAGAGCTAAGACAGTGTTGTGACATGCTGCTCCTTAAATAAGTTTTGATTAATTTTAGTTTTGAAAAACTTCATTCTGGTGTCACCATTAAAGTTAAAAAATAAGGCATGCTGCAATAATGTCAGAAAAGCTACTTATGGCTGCAGTGTGAATTAATTAATAGTAGTTCAGCAACTTTGTATATAGAAGTAATTTCTTTTACCTAAGTATAAAAACACATTTTAAATCAGAGTAGTTGAGGTCCAAAACTAGGCAAAATGTCAGAGGGATATGCAGATTGTAACAATTCTGATCCTTCCAGAATATTTTTATCAGATAATGCAACAATATATGCAGGTGATAAGCACTTAAAAAATGTACATAACTGTCAAATGAATTTAAATCTAATAGTTAATTGATTGCAAACTGCTCTAGGTGCATGAATTGCATGAATCAAGAGGGTGCCAAGTTAGAAAAGACAAAATAAAAACTTGTAAAAACATTTATAAAAGATTTTTTGGATTTAATAATTAATCAATTAACTATTAGATTCTAGTGAAATTAGTCAAAAAACAATTGATATCCTGGTTCAATTCATTTCTTCAGCGATGAATTGAACCATAAGTCTGTACATAAGAGACATGTACAGGGACAAACATCCATAGTTACTCTTAATTAGTAGACTGTTATTGTTAACAGTGAATATTAATTAATAAATTCAGTGCTTCAAAAGATGTATAATGTTTTACCATATTTGCTATATTATTGATATCACTATAGCAGTGCCCAAGGAGTACAAAGAATTAAAACAGTTCCAGAGTTTTTGAAAATGTATTAGTTTTACTTAAATTAATATTAAAATAAAAAAAATACTAAAAATATGGATAAACTCACCTGTAACTTTTTACTAACATTAGCTGCATAACCATTTAGAGGAATCACAAGAATCATTACTACTACTCCAGTTAAAACAGACACACCTAAAACATCCCATAAAAAAAATAATGCCAAAATGATTTGCAGAGGAGCTGACCATAGCATATTAATGAAGACCATTAAATCCATAAATCTCTGAGCATCCACTGACATCAAGTTAACTATCTCACCTACAGTTGATTCACGACGTGAAAAATTAGACAGCACCAATGACTGAAAATGAATAAATATATTTTTAATAAATCTTTAAATATATTTTAAGCAAAAACAAAAGCAATTTTCAGTATAGATTATTGTCATAGGAAGTATTAATTTTTAATAATTTAAATTTTCCATAACTTCATTATTCATACACTTTTTACCTTTTTATAACCTTCTAGTTTTTAATAAACCTGTTTTGTGAAGAAATATTGTATGATCCAAGTCAGTTAACCAAAATATATTTTAAGATTGTGTTAAGAATAAGTTAAAACCAATTTAGATTAGCTGCATGTTATTCTGTCATTATTCATGAAGCAACTGAATTATGAATGAATAACATATTAATAAATTAAATTTTTATACAGGATGGATCTAAAGTCTGCATGCAGTTTTATATTTCAATAACTAAAGATATACAAATGTTAAAATTAAGGTTGGAGAGGTGACATTTCTTTGCCAACTGTGACTAATTTTCAGCTTAATGACTTTCAATCCTTAGTATTTATATACACTGTCTACCATTTTCATCACTGACATTAAGCTAATTTACTAATTAGCAATGCATTAGTGGTCTACTGATAGAGAATTGTAGCTGTGGATTTTACTTTATTCAAAAAATGAAAAATTACAATTATCCATATATAGAAATAATTCTGCCAAATTTCAAAAGTTTAGGTTTATCCAATCCTGAAATATAATGTAAAATAGATACCAACACATATACACAGATTTTTGTAAAAGTTTTACTTTCCCAACTGTTATATATACACACAGTAAAGTACAAGTGCTCACCTACCTAAGAACAGATTAGGTTCCTGAGGTTTTGTTGTAAGTTGAAAATTAATGTAGAAAGCAGTGTTGTGGAGTTGGAGTTGGGCATTTTTGGACTGAGTCGGTAAAATATATTCAACTCTGGGTACTCCAACCTCAAAGTTTACTATTGGTAAAATGTGAAGTAAGAAAAATACTTTTTACTTAATCAGTATCTAAAGAAATTTCTTAGTAAACAGACACTTCAATAAATTTAGATATCAAAATGATATTAACCCATAAAGGTTGTTTCATAGCAAAATGTTATGCATATCTCACACAACATGCTCTATACTTTTTAAATTAATAAAATAGTTTTTATTAGTTTATGACCCATCAGTGGCCGAGTGGATAAAACGACTAAACACTTGTAGTTAATCGTGGGGTCATGACTAACTACAAGTAAAACATTTATGATATCACTTCAAAACACCAAGCTTATCTTTACCACAATAAAGCTCCCAAGAAAAAATTTCACTTTCATTGCTGGTGTTATAATTTTTACTTGGAGCAATATTATTTTACATTTCAGATACTTACATTTCAGTTTCTTTATATATTCAAAGGTTTTTGGATATCAATTGTTTTTTGGCTAATTTCACTAACTTTTTTCGTTACCTTTCTAGTGGTTTTGAGTTATTTATGACTATTATAGTGTTTTGATATCATAATTTGGTCTTAAAACAATCAATAAAAAAAAACTAAAACTGAGATCATAATCTAACTGCAACAAATTAAAAGAGGAAGAGAAAACTGCAAAATGTAATTAATAGGGTTGTTTCAGTTTATTATTCACTCACTGTTGGCTAATTGCATCTGTTTGCTGGATATGATTGAATTTTTTTTTTCCAAATTTCATATTTTAAAATATTTTAAATGTATACTTCACTTCAGCCAACTGTCAGTAGGAAATTCCTATTGTAGATGAAGCAGGAGAAATTATTTTACAGATCAATTTATTAAATCATTCATCAAATTGTTATTTTTTTGCATTTTATTGTATTAATTTTTTTCTTGAAAATAATTAAATTTAAATCACTTAATTATTTAACTAATAAAAGTGGAATTCTTTTGGCTATTAAGATGTAGTTTGTTTCTTTATGTATTCAAAGGTTTTTCCAAGGTAAATGCATTATATCCATGTTTTGATTCTCACCATCAATTTTAGTTAACCTTTTATAGAAAAATTTTACATAAAAAAAACTCAGTGTTATCTTTCTTATGAAAGGAGTCATAGAATGACATTTTAAGATAAAACAGAGCAAGTTCAGAGTTAAAGTGGCACATTGCAAATTTTCTGGAGTCGGTCAGACTTTTTGTTTACTGATTCACCACACTGGTAGAAAGTATATTTATACATTAAATAACCACTTATTATTGGTTTTTGTTGTTATTTTTAAGTTGTAATAAATTAAATTATAAAAAAGCATTTTATAAACATTATTTTCCAAAAATACTACAAATGCTAATAACTCAACTAACCTTATGAAGCTTTGCAAAGGTTTTAACATACCACGAACGTTTTCAGTCCACCTTAGGACTTTTTTCAGGTGGAATTCTATTAGAGAAAACCTTTTCCAGTGAGTTTCTGTTCTACAGTAGAGCGTCGTTTATCTGAAATCCGGTTATCCGAAAGCATTCCAGTCAGCAAATTTAAATTTTTGCTAGTGCTGTGGCTCTGCAATCTTTGGCTATATCTTGGGCTACTCCAATATTTTTTTTGTTGGTTTGTGATGTTTTTCTAAGGACTGTGTCATGTTGAATTGAATGTTTTTGATAGTAGATCAACTTCTAAAGTATTTTTTTTTTGGTTTAAGCATAATTATTTCAATATTATTAATTTTAAGGAAAAGTTTAAAAATTAGGTTACAAAAATGAATCTTAAAATTTGTTTCTTGTATTCACATTTAGAGTATTACCTGGAGTGAAGAACAAAGTCAAGGATTTCACCAAGATGTAAAAGAAATGTGCATGTAATGACTATTGTTGATGTATTAAAAGAAAAAGAAAAAAAAATATTGTAAATGTGATGAGTTAATTTTACTTTAAAAATGACAAACCATAGTGTCTATTGTCACATTTAATCCCCTACTTTACAAAATCAATTTACAATGTGTAATAAACTAAAATAAACAATTTTAATATTACCTGTAAGTGCATATTAACTTCATCACTACAACTTAAGTATGGAAAATTTCCTCCTTTCTTTAAATGAGCACGTTTAGCTTTGGGATACATTTTATACATTTCTTCTCTGACTGACTGACTAAGTGCATTCTCATCAAAAACCTAGAATTATTAGATTTACTATGTTATTTAAACTTGTACCACTTTTTACATTATTAAAAAAACAAAAACAAAGCCCTCATAATTAAAATTCTAATATTTATATTAATGTTTTACATTAAAAGCTAAAAAAACTCAATCAATCAATTGATTACTTGACAGTAGTGTTGTAACGAATAGTATATTCGGCCAAACTATTCGGCTTGATTAATGCACGTACGAAAATTGGCGCGCAAACCGCATTATGACAAGGATCCTGCTCTCTATTGGCCCGCTGTCACTACGCTTCGCCAATTGCGTTAATTCTTGGCAGTTGTAGCCGACAGACAAGAGTGTCATGGAAGTATGTGATAAATGATGATATCAAATGACCTACACTTGTAAATAACGGAAAAAGAACAGAGAAGGACCGC